AAGAACTATATAACACGTGGATTTTGAATTAGTTGATCAAATTGTTCCACTGTCTGAACTCAAATTAATAGGTTATAAATTTCCGGAGGCACGATTCAGTACCATGTTTGTCATGAGGAAATATATGGACGCTAACGAAATACAAGACGTCTACAGTTTGAAACCTTGTAGAATTATGATCCACCATGATATTAGTACTGCTCTAATAATAGACCTAATCCTAAAATTGTAGATTTGTCATGATATAACTGCCTAATCTATAAGATCTTACGTGGAAGTCACATCATCGTCTACACCGACTCACTGTATCGTAACAACTACTAACACATGATGAAGAACAAGCTTAGGCTAGAGAAGGAACAATATATTTAATATGAATAAAAGATATAAGGTAATATTCAGAAGGGACCACGCCTGCATGGCCGAGCCGTGCCATTCGATCAACTCCAATTCATTCAACTCATTGTTCGCGCCTTCTCCATCGTTAGGTATTTCTCCACGTTAACTATTGAATATTTGTTTTCCGAGCAATCACGTATTTAGCTTTGAAGATTGTGTGGTTATTGTCCAATGCCACTACAACCTAACGAATTAATTGCATGAAGTTGAGTGTTAAGATGTGGTGTCAAACTAATGAAAACTCTATTAAAATATGCTGTTTTTTTAATAAGCACTGTTAACTTTGAGTGAAGAATTTTTGGGAAAAACCACTTAGAAGATTTCAAAGTCTGTACAATGTACAAACATGCTTTTTTTCCAAAAGAATTTGGAACGTTTTAAATCTTTTCGATTGTTCATTTGCATATTATCTGGAGAAGGCTACTTGACAACATTCACACCTAGCCAAATTTGTTCCAGTTAGACTTCATTTTAAAAGCCTGAACTTTTAGGTACGTAGTTTACTCGCATTTAACAGGAATGGTTTGACCACCTTTCAACGAAATCAGTTCACGTGGTAGTTAGTGACCACGGAGTAAGGTAATGTAGTGGTCAAATGATTTACATAAATGATTTGTTGGAATAAATAGAAAGTGAGGGGCAAACTTTAGCTGATCAACCAATCGCTGTATTCAACGGTTCGGTGCTGTAGATCCGTAGCTTTATATTATTAATTGTCAACCTTGACGATATTCGATAGACAGCCCGAGTAGGGGGTACGTCACTTACTGTCATGTGAAAAGATTTTCACATAGTAATTTTTCGTTCATCCAGTAATTTAATAATGGAGTTTTAAAAATCGTTTTAAGTAAAATCTACAATTCAACTCTCAAACTTGCACTAATTGTGAGTTTGCATGTCAGGTGCTCCGTTACGCTACACTATATTTCTTAGCCGAATTCTGTCATTTCGAAACAGTTCTGTTGTACGGATCCAAAAAGTGAAGAACTACCACATTCATCAAAAATGTATGGGTATTTATAACTAATTGTCTGCACAAGATACTCCAGGTCCGTTGGCTTGATACTATTAGTAACAACCTGCTATTCTAGCAGACAAACCAGCTCCCAGACGAAAAGTAAGTTAGGAAAAGACTTTGGAGGCGGATAGGACATACGATTCGCGAATAATCAAACTCTATCACGAGGAAAGTCCCAGCTTAACATCCCGAAGGAAAACAGAAAAGAGGAAGATCAAGGAACACATTGGGCAGGGAATCGGAAGCAGACATCAAAAGAGTGAACAACAATTGGAAACAACTGGAAGGAAGGGCCAAGGATACAGTTGGTTGGAGAATCCTGACAGGTGACTGATGGTGCCACGAAGAGTAAGTAACATTATATTAAATACCGATGTGTCTGTCTTAACTTTCTTCCGCAACATTATGTTTTATAACTCATCGCTTTTTATTGCTTGCAAATGATACATGAAGGTGGATACTGCATCTCTCTACGTCGTGTTTCCTATTGCAACTTGCTAAGATTTTCTCATGATCTCGAGTGATTCTAAGTCAATGCAACGTGTACCATTTTAGTGGGGTCACTTGTTTAGCCTACCGAGTATAACATTCGTGGAAGCCTAGACGTTCCGTTAAATTAAGAACATTGAAACTCTTCACTCTATGCTTAACAATTTTATCTAAGCTTTTTGATGCATGCAGGGATAATGGAACGAATGATTATCAAAACACCTTAAGTGTGTGCTACACGAACACCCGTAGTCTTAGAAACAAAACATCCGAGCTAAGTCTGATGGTGGATGAATTAAGTCCCGATATAATTGTTGTTACAGAAACTTGATTCACCGCAGATAGAAAATGTTCTCCCATCACTGCAGGCTATGTCTGTATAAGCAGTGGTAGAGTTTTAAGTCGCAAGGGGGGAGGTGTAATGTTATACGTTAGGGATCACTTTCGTATACAATCAACAATATTGGAGGATCATATCAGTGGCACATATGAGGTTGCATGTTGTAAGATTAGATCTAGAAATGTGTTAGTGTCTATAGGGTGAATATGCCGTAGTCCGTGTTGTCTTGGTGACGACTGTATCTTAAGACGCATCTGTTCTTGGAGTATGGCAGAATGTTTTCTCATCATTGGTGACTTCAACGCACCGCATATCAACTGGATAGAGCTTACAGCTCCAGGTGGAGGTTTTGATAGCGACCTTTAATCAACCGTTGTTCGGCGTGCACTTGTACAATGTATCACAAAACCCACACATATTGACTCGGAACATGACCCGTCGCTGCTGGACCTTGTCCTCACACACCACTGTGAGGATTTCATCGGCATTCGGCACCTTGCCCCACTACAAAACAGTGATCACGTTGTACTTTGAGTTTCGGACACGTGGTATAAAATTTGTATCTGATCCATCCCGTCCCAATATCTGGCGAGCTAATACTCCTGAAATGAGAGACTGTGCTATCTCGATCGTTCGATGCGGATGGATCGATCGAAGACGAATGGAGTAAGTTTAAGGCTACTGACTGACTGAATGAATGAAGGCTACACTCGACTCCGTAACATTACCGTTTATCCCATGGTCAACACGTAAGCTATCACATTGCCCTCTATGGATTATTAAGGAAACCTGGAAGCTGTTAAAGCGTAGGAAACACTTCTAGGAATTATTCTTGTTGACAGCTCGTGCATCATTTAAGCGTGAGTACCGAAAATTCCAGGATACTTGTAAGAAAACCATAGCTGAATCCCGTACTACTTACGAACGACAGTTTGTATATGATAGCCGTACTTGTCCGAAACGATTGTTTTCGTATGTTAAACGTAGTGATGGTATTCCCCCGTTACTGTTACACGAAAATTCAGAATTACTAGCCGAATCAGATCGGGCAAAAGCTGAGACTTTTTCAAACTATTTTAGCGAAGTCTACTCTACGTTTATTGTAACAAATACCTTGTCTCACTCACACTGAGATACCAACCATTGAATCTGTACAGGTGACTGAGGAAACTGTCCTTTCGTTGATAACTAACCTCAAACCTGGTAAGATACCGAGCCCTGACGGGTTATATCCACGATTGCTGTCATCTCTTGTGGACATTATTTCAAAACCACTCGCGACACTCTTCAACATGTCCCTTTCACTCGCTCAACTCTTTAGAGATTGAAAGGACGCTATAGTCAGTCCTATATTTAAGGATGGCAAAAGACATATAGTATCTAACTACCGGCATATCAGTCTAACTAGCATTGCCGTTAAGTTACTTGAAAAAATAAGTCGGGTTAGGTTGCTAAGCCACATAGGTTCACACAGTCTGTTAGCTTTTGAGCAAAATGGATTTCATAACAAGCGTTCATGCTTGACTAACTTACTTATTGCGAGAGAGGATTGGACATCAGCCTTAGATAAAGGTCTTTCTGTCGATGTGATATTCATAGATTTTAACAAAGCATTTGGCAAGGTTTCACACTTAGGTCTTATGCAGGAGCTCACGAGCTTCGGAATAATAGGTACTGTACAGGAGTGGATAGGCATTTTCTTATGTGACCGCAGACAGAGAGTGAGGGTCAATAAGACGCCACCCATTGGAAGCCGGTCAAACGTGGTGTACCCCAAGTTTCCATCTTAGGCCCTCTGATCTTCCTTTTTTACGTCAATGAGTTACCGCTGTTGCATAGGTCGTCGACATTATTGTTTGCGGATGACGTAAAAATCTGGAGAACAATAAAAAGTGAGGCTGATCAGCTGGGTCTTCAAACTGACTTAGACAATTTAGTTAGATGGGCTCGAGAGTGGGGCTTAGGAATCAATTCTAGGAAGAGTGTGCTAATGCACATCGGTCACGGTAATAGTTGCCATTATACTATTGATGGTAAACCTCTTCCATGCGTTCAAGAGCATAAAGACTTAAAAGTAATAATAAGTCACGACTTAAAAACAACCACGCATTGCAACGAAGCCGCTGTCGAAGCTTTTTGTGCGTTATGGTCACGTCACCGAGCGTTCAAATCTTTTGACGAGGAAATGTTTCGAATTTTATATCCTACCTATGTAAGACCACATTTAGAGTACTGTATCCAAGCAGCTAGCCCACGTCTGGTAAAGAATACTAATTTACTTGAGCGTGTCCAGCGTGTGGGAACGGAATTAGTGAAGGGTCTTCCTAGACTCCTTTACGATGAGCGTTTAAAACGCCTAAACCTTTCCCCCTTGTCGCACCGTAGGACACGAGGTGACCTTATACTGGCTTTTCGTATCTGTAATTATGATTTGGGTGTTAATATGTCATATCTTTTTGCCATCTCCAGCACTAATAATCTCCGAGGTCATGGCAAGAAGGTTCATAAACCGCGATCTAATAAACTTAAAATGGGGTTCCGTTTTTCTCATCGAGTAGTCAATGATTGGAACGCCTTACCCGAACAAGTGGTATCGGCCCCACCAATGAATATTTTCAAAAAGAAACTGGACCTTCACTGAAAGGCAATCTGTCAGGATTAACACAGGTACACCAACCTACTATCCTCATTACTGAAGACTGACCACTTGAATTTTTGTGCTCCTGACCTAAAAAGAGGTTAGTTTAAAAGTATTTGCTGTAACAGGGTTAAAATCATGTGTGTTGTTGTTAATAGATTCTGTTTTTCTTTCTATTGCAGAGCAACCAAGAGTAAATGCTTTTGTAGAAGAAGAGCAAGCTCTGCATGCATTGAACCTATAGGATGACTGATAAGACTGTTTTGTAGACTAGCTCTCCCTTCTGTACATAACCCGCGGATTTTCACTCCGTGTCCTCTCTCTGTGGTGTGAACTGCTTAGTTAACATTGTTTGTGTTGTGGTTTATGGTCTTCCTGCCTTTCAGTGACTTCTGATTACACGTGTTACACTACCTGGCAATTTCTGTGTTGAAGTATGGTGGTGATTATACATTTGTGCCTAGTGCATTTGTAATTAACGTGGAACCAAATTATAGATGGAAGAATTTCTAGAATCCCTATTTGGTTCTCGTCTTCCCAAGTCATAACTTGAGAGTCAGCTATATAGCTATGGCGGAAACCTAGCCAAAAAGTAGACAGTTTGGTGTAAATTCTATTACATTCTCGACTCAGAGCGACAAACAATGAGAAAGTTTCTATTTCTCAAGTTGTCTGCAGTATTACTTTGGTCTAGGGTACAGAAAATATATATAAAATATGTAGAAATGGATATTTGTTGAATTTTGTCTCCTGTTTGGTTTGTATTTGTGATTCTTTAGCTGTAAAAATGAACACACCTGAACCTACTATTCAGAATATTTTGGACTCAAATACTTTGCGTTGGATCTTTGTCGGAGGTAAAGGTGGAGTTGGAAAAACGACATGCAGTTGCAGCATTGCTGTTCAAATGGCCAAAGTGCGTGAGCGTGTTCTCATTTTAAGCACGGATCCTGCTCATAACCTTTCGGATGCGTTTGACCAAAAGTTTTCGAAAAATCCTACTAAAGTTAGGGTAAGTACGAAGCTTGCTTTTGATTTTTCATCGACGCAGCATTTTCTATTAGTTTATTTCCGTTTGCTTTAGCAGTATAGGCGTTTTAGTACTTCAAATTTAAAGTGCTCGGATCAAATCAGCTTTTTCTAGTGCCTACCTGCTTAGGATATTTTATCGGAGTGTTAGGAAACAAATGTTTATATACCTGGGTTCAGTTTATTAGTATTTTCTATACAGAGGAATACTTATCAGGTTTGAGATTCCGATGTATGTACTAAAGACATGAGAACAATGGCCTGTGTTGGTCCTTTTTTAGCAAGCCTCGGTGAGACTATAGCTTATGGATGACCTTTGAGTCACAGCAAAGTGACCCTGAAAATGTCTGCCTACTAAGACTAAAGGGCGGTTATTGAGCAATGTGGGGAATTAGAATTATGATTTATGGTTGGTGGTTAATGATTAGATTTAGGGTTTTCATCACGAACTAACATAGGCTATGATACCAAGACGATATTTAGCCAAAACGGACAAATGAATTTCGCACCAAAATCCAAGACCTACCATCCTATATCTGATTGGTTAGTTCATAAGTTGTAGTCTCCTCCAAGCCTCTATGAACCTCATATCTTCTCTTGGATGGGTCGATTGAAAGTGTAGACATCGCTTCTTACGTTGGTAGGTCCTGAAAGTCGTTGGCTCGGTGGGAAAATCCTTTTTTCGCCGATATTTTGTCGGTTCTTGACTTCTGAACTCCCCTCCTCTGAGTTGTGCTGATTTTTTAGGAAGCAGGAGGGAGGATATTTCAGTTTCGAAATCATTTAGTAATCTATACATCAAAATTGGATCACATCTTTATGATAAGACTCAGTAAAGTGGTCTAACTACTCAAGGCACCTTGTGTAAGCCTCGGAATTCTGGAATTGTTCGTATAGCTGTCCTTTGTTATTTTTCTGAGGTATTTATTCATCTTTAAAGCATGGACTTGCAGTCTAGACCCAGTTTTCAAGTCTGGAACGTACTAAAATTGTATATACTGTAACAAACACTTTCGTATCCGATTTGGTATGTGTCTATCTTAATTCAACTAGGGTTCCAACCGCTAGGCAGTGAGGTCGGGCTCACTATTATCCCTAGATCATTGTGAAACAGGACTAAAAGCATCATAACTTCTCCAGTGATGTAATTATCTTCCTTTGTATATAAAATGTACATGTAGGCACACTTAGGCACATCGGTAGACATCAACCACTATTTAGACCGGCCAACCAAAACGTTTTTACTATTTATTTATTTGAACATAAACATTAGTACAAGTGAGCACCAAATACATATGCGTCACAATGAAAATGAGGCCAGTAGTAGTTATCATTGATTTGTATGATGGCTGGGCTACTACTCGGGTGCCCAAACCGAAGTAGGTGGTTTTCTTGGGGGTCGCACCCTGAGCCTTTAATCTAAATGTCTAATCCACAAGGTAGTGTAGCAACGTTACGGGATGCAGTCCCATGGTAGCTGGTGACCAACAATGGGTTCATACACCTTTCGTTCCCTCAGAATTCTGGAGACTATATGTACCATTGGTTTGGAACCAAGGTTTTCCAACTCCTCCGGGTAGACTCTCCGTGTCCACCAACTCAGTTAAAGCTTTGAACATTCACTTTTCATCCTTTTAATTTCGTAAACAACACCCCCTCTGGGAGAAGGCAGTGAGTAGGACTTAATTGACAGTGGTTGTATGCACGTCGCTATTTGAGAGCATTTCGATAGGAAGAGCTGACTCTCCACTTTCGGCCGTTTTTGGGGGCACGTTGCTCCACTACCTTGTGGACTAGACCTTTAGGTCAAAGGCTATGGGTATAGGCCCTAAGAAAACCACCTGCTTCGGCTTGGGCACCCATGCAGTATACCTGACCTCACACAAATTGGATGATTTATGTGTCGCATATCTATTTGGTGCCACTTTTGTGCCAATGCTTGTGTGTTTAAATGAATAAATAAATAAATAAATTTTCAGTCCAACTTGACAATGGATGTATGTCAATTTTAGCCTGTCACTGTCTTAATTGTTTTCTAGTCAAATCTTGTAGAGCCGAATTTTTAGATATTATCACTAACGTAGTTCATTCACACAATTCGGTAAAACACTTTCCCCAGTAACTCAGAAAACCAAGTTTCCTTACTTTTTCATTTTTAGACGTAGAGATGTGGTTCATTATGCAAACAATCACTGCAATACTTGTTACTTATTTCATCAGATGTAGCAGACCTAAAAATGAGAGTTGCAGATTGCTTCCTGTTTACACAGACATACCAGATCATTTTTTCTCCTCACGGTTTCGGTTTGATTAATTAATAGGCTGTACCCATTGACAACTAAAGAATGTACTAATTTTAAGAAATTTTGTTTTTCGCTGTTAGAAACCAATCAAAAAGAAGTCTAGAACCCGAATTTCGGTCTTGCTCGAGCTAATCTAAAGAAAACACATACAATTCTGCAAAAGAATTCTTCTTCCTTAAGTTCGATTGTCTTTTAATGCCTCAGTTCATGACGATACCGTTATAGGATTAAGGCTGCTACTGGTTTTCTATGAGACCGGATAATGTATGCGAAGTTAGTATCATGTGATAACTTGGTCAGTTGGCGCTGGCATTCATTCCATTTCCTGGCCATTTAATTTTACTGTTATTTTGATTATCACACGTCGGACTTGATGGTGTTTATTATACAAAACGAAGTGATAAGATTGTAAATATATAGGAGTGGAAATTATATAATCAAAATAAACATCAAAACTATCGAAGGTTACGTTCTGAATAAGAACCAAGGCGAAATTTGTTTAATTTGGAGGTATATGTTTCTGTTCATGAAGAACCTTAACTTCTACTTTGAGTCATTTGTGATAAGGTCCCAAACCATCTGGCGAAGGCGAGATATCCGCCTACCAATAAAACGACAAGTATACTGTGTGGCAGTTCATTCTGTTCTACTTTATGGCTGCGACACGTGATCATTAAGAGTGGAAGATACTCGTAGGCTACTAGTATTTAATCATATATGTCTTGGAAATATTGCTCGCATCTGCTGGGGTCACCGGGTAAGTAATAGTGAGGTCAGACTCAGGGTATTAGGTAATGACGGTAAATCAGTTGATGAGGTTTGTTAATCTTCATCGACTGAGATGGTTGGGCCACGTGTTACGTATGCCTGAATACCGATTACCACGTCGTGCAATGCTAACGGGTGTTAGAGATGGTTGGAAGAGCATTAGGGGCGGCCAAACCAAAACGTGGCATCAGTGCTTGAAGACACTAACTTCTAGTCTGAGCCATGTTGGTAGATGCAGACTACTTGGTTGGGGTCCGCAATTAGTAACACAACACAAATGTTTTGTTATTTCTCAGTGTTATATCAACTTTGATCTGGACTAACAAATACTGAAAAGTCATGCTTACCATCAGGTGACTAATTAAGTCAAAACACGTTATATTTCAAGTTTTGTGGTTTACAAATCTAATTATTGATTTGGTCATGGGTAATAAATTTACTTCAAACGTTACCGACTTAACGATTTATTAGACCAAAGGTAATATTCATTATGGACTGACATCAACTGGATAATCATTCAAACTAGAAGCACGCGATAGCTGTTACTTTATCGTTAGTGCACACAAACTACCAGACTATATTAAGTGTAGGGCCTCCAGGTTTCTCGACAAACGCACTCAGTAACTATGTCAGTATCCAATGGTTTTTATGTTCCAGTGGGATCATTATCTAATGTGGTGAGGGGATAATTTCCTTACTGCCTAGATGGTTGATACTGAGGTCACGGATTATCAGTGAAACTTCAGAAAATATCTGAAGCTAATCGCTAATGAGTAATTAGGTGATTTTGAGGGTTTGTTGAGAATCTTATTTGGTACTGAACATGCAATATTGAATAAAGTTACTACTATTATCATTATTATCCAGGTTTCAGAAAAGTTTTGACAGGAACTGACATCACCTAGTGAAGTATTAAATACTAGATGCCATAGATGGGGACTTCCAAAAAGTAATAATTGTAGAATGGTCTCGTGTGGAATCATTTTTGAACTAATATCAATCCGTAAACTCCGCCTGTAGCTCCTATAGGGTTACTGCCGGTCCCAAGCCCGGGTAAAGGAGGAGGGTTGGGCATGGGGTTAGCGTCCCCATCCCGTAGAAAACTAACTCGCTAAAAAAACGCTTACCAGAAAAAATAATCCAAACCATTTAAACTCTGCCCTGGGAGTTAGAAGGTCTTCAGTTAGAAGAATTATGACGCTTCATGGTGAAAGCCGAGTTCCTTCGGAAGCCACGAGGCCGATGCCCCTTCTAACAACCAGAGCAAAAATTTTTATAGGTACATGGAACGTTCGAACAATGTGGGAAACCGGGAAGACCAGTCAAATAGCAATGGAAATGAGGAGATACAACTTAGCAGTACTGGGAATCAGCGAAACCCACTGGACCCAAGCTGGACAGAAAAGGCTAGCTACGGGAGAGATGCTGCTATACTCCGGTCACGAAGAGGACAATGCTCCACACACTCAGGGAGTCGCTCTTATGCTGTCCAAAGTAGCACGAAATGCACTTGTAGGATGGGAGTCTCACGGATCCAGAATCATCAAAGCATCATTCAAAACAAAGAAGGAGGGGATCTTAATGAATATTATCCAATGTTATGCACCCACCAATGATAGCAACGACGACATTAAAGATCAGTTCTACGAGCGGCTGCAGTCAATCATTGAGAAATGCCCAAGAAAGGACCTAACTATTCTGATGGGAGATCTAAATGCCAAAGTCGGAATAGACAACACTGGATATGAAGATATTATGGGACGACATGGACTGGGAAAAGAAACGAAAATGGAGAAAGATTTGCAAATCTATGTGCATTCAACAAATTGGTCATAGGAGGCACAATATTTCCACACAAGCGTATACACAAGGCTACATGGATCTCACCGGACCACACTACAGAGAACCAAATAGATCATATTTGCATCAACAAAAAATTCCGAAGGACAATGGAAGATGTGAGAACCAGGAGAGGTGCTGACGTAGCTTCAGATCACCACCTAGTTGTAGCCAATTTAAAACTGAAGCTAAAAAAGAACTGGACAAGTGGACAAACAGCACTACAAAGGTTCAATACAGCCTTCCTTCGAGATACTGACAAACTCAATGAATTCAAGATAGCTCTCAACAACAGGTTCCAAGCCTTACAAGATCTACTGAAGAAGAAGAAACTACTATGGAGGACAACTGGAAAGGCATCAAGGAAGCATTAACTTCAACGTGTCAAGAGGTTCTGGGCCTAAAGAAACACCATCATAAGGAATGGATCTCTATAGAAACACTGGACAAGATCAAAGAAAGGAAGAACAAGAAGGCAGCAATTAACAACAGCCGAACACGAGCAGAGAAAGTCCAAGCACAAGCTGAATACATAGAAGCAAACAAACAAGTGAAGAGGGGCATTAGAGCCGACAAGAAGAAATACGTGGAAGAACTAGCAACGACGGCAGAAAAAGCTGCTAGAGAAGGAAATATGAAACAGCTTCACGATACAACGAAGAAACTAGCAGGGAAATACAGTAAACCAGAGAGGCCGGTCAAAGACAAAGAAGGCAAGCCAATCACCGAAATTCAACAACAGCGTAACAGATGGGTAGAATACTTCGAGGAACTCCTGAATAGGCCGGCTCCAATGAATCCACCGGACATCGAAGCAGCACACATAGATCTTCCTATAGATGTCAACCCACCAACGACGGAAGAAATTAGAATGGCCGTCAGACAAATCAAGAACGGGAAAGCAGCAGGACCCGACAACATACCAGCTGAAGCACTGAAATCAGACATCGAAGCAACCACAAGCATGCTTACCTTCTATTCAAAAAGATTTGGGAGGAGGAACAAGTGCCGATGGACTGGAAAGAAGGACACCTCGTCAAGATTCCAAAGAAAGGAGATCTGAGCAAATGTGAAAACTACAGAGGCATTACACTACTGTCGATACCAGGGAAAGTCTTCATCAGAGTGTTGCTGAACAGGATGAAGGATGCAGCCCTAACTTGTAATCTTAAAGGGAAGCGAAAAAGAGAAAGGCCAAAGAACACATTGCGTCGGATAATAGAAGCAGATATGAAAACGATGAATTACAACTGGACGGAGCTAGAAAGGATTGGCCAGGACAGGGTTGGATGGAGAATGCTGGTGAGCGGCCTATGCTCCTTCACGAGGAGTAACAGGCGTAAGTAAATAAGTAATCAATCCGTAACTGAATCCATCGTCAAAATGAGTGATGGCCTGGTAATTAGGAGATTGCTGTTCTAAATAATAGATCGCGAGTTCGAGTCCTATTCCTCCTATCTTGGTTTAGACAGCTAGATAGTATTTATAGCCAATGCACAAGTATTTTGACCTGAAGATAAATGGAAAAATTTCTGCTTGACAAATTAGTTACTTAAATACAGATCTAACTGACGTTCAAATTTGAGAGGATGCTTCTCATGTTGTCCTTTTTTAGTCAGTCAGTCAGTCAGCTACAACGTAGGACCAGACACATATATGCATCGGTCCAGGTTGCCATACCGCATTAGCACAGCAAGATGAACGCCGGACTCATAGGAGTGGTTAGGTCAAAGGTGCTAATATATAGGAGAAAGATTGCATATAAGGATATAGTACAGGAAGAAAGAATTAGTTAGTAGAAAGAAAGATATGAAGTGATTTTAATCTCTTAGTTTAAGGGAAGACGGGGAGTGTATACACCGACGTCATTGTGATCGATTCTGAGCGATGTCACCAAGAGTCTCCAACCATCGGTTACGAAAGTCGCGCGGACCCCAACCAAGTAGTCTGCATCTACCAACATGGCTCAGACTAGAAGTTAGTGTCTTCAAGCACTGATGCCACGTTTTGGTTTGGCCGCCCCTAATGCTCTTCCAACCATCTCTAACACCCGTTAGCATTGCACGACGTGGTAATCGGTGTTCAGGCATACGTAACACGTGGCCCAACCATCTCAGTCGATGAAGATTAACAAACCTCATCAACTGATTTACCGTCATTACCTAATACCCTGAGTCTGACCTCACTATTACTTACCCGGTGACCCCAGCAGATGCGAGCAATATTTCCAAGACATATATGATTAAATACTAGTAGCCTACGAGTATCTTCCACTCTTAATGATCACGTGTCGCAGCCATAAAGTAGAACAGAATGAACTGCCACACAGTATACTTGTCGTTTTATTGGTAGGCGGATATCTCGCCTTCGCCAAAGGTGACGTAAGTTGGCAAAAGCCTTTTTAAACTTCAGAAATACTTTTCGTCAATTCTAACTGTCCAGGATGTACTCTTTTCTGGTTTTAGGGTTTTAATAATCTTTTTGCTATGGAAATTGATCCAAATGTGAACTTAGGAGAGTTCGAAGAGGATCTGGTTGGTTCTGAAGAAGCAGCAGTTTCCGCTGATATACGTAAAACCATCGGTCACTTGATGACTTCTTTCCCTGGAGTGGATGAGTATATGTCTTATACAGAGGTGTTTCGGTTGGTCCGCAATATGGATTATTCAGTCGTCATTTTTGATACTGCTCCTACTGGCCACACACTACGATTGTTAGCGTTTCCAGAGGCTATGGAGAAAAGTCTTAGCAAAGTAGTCTCAATGAAAAATCAGGTAAGTAGCAATTGTTCCAATCTGGTCAACTTTCTGGAAAATCAGTTTTTACTAGTTAAATGTTTACTAACTTAATTTAAGATGTGTACCATAGCTACAAGTAAACACTACTTGTTTTCATTGGTTACTAGATGGGTTCACTCAAAACACTCTGGAGGGCTTTGGGGAATTTATTTACCAAGACTAGTGTATCTTCCCATACAGACTTGTAGATAACCATGTATTATTCCAAATTTAATTCTTTCAACTTATTGTTGAGCCCATCATGAGTTAGATGTAAATTGTTTTAGAAAATCAAATGTATTAGTCGTCCAATATCTTGAAAACACTTTCTATTTGTTGAAACACCACTCTGGGAGTATTATTTAGGCTGGGAAGTGAATTTCTTGCTGATCGAATCACGTAGTAGGTTGGTGTAACTTCATCAAGTGGAACAGATGACAAACCTCTTATTTAAATTACGAACATTAAGTGTGAATAAAAATTGCATTCATCTAATCTCGCTGCATCGCTTAACAAATTATTACTATCTGTTTCTTGCTTCTCGTTATGTTTCTTTTTCCTTAGCAGTAGTTTGGGACCAACCGAATTAGTGCGATTCATGTAGTTAGCATGTCATCGTATAATACTTCTGTATCAACCACACGGAAAGTTTCTTGAAGTTTTTGGACCAGTATTTGTGTATCACGAAAAAATCTAAATATTTTACGTGCATTAAAAAGTTATTTCGGTTGCTTAAATAATTTTACACTTGTCTCGCATACTTTTTTTTTGCGTAAATTGTGTTATCTTCCGTCCATCTTTGTGAACCGCATTTCCATACTTGTTTTTAAAATGTTTAAGAATGAGTAAAGGTAATTACCAACTGGTCCTACGTAATACATGGTGGGATCATACAAATTTACTTAAACTTATTCATTTGCCGTACCTAGTGTTGTTTGATCTTTTGGACGTGAACGATAGTCGAAATGCGTCGTTTACCAAATAACTTGCCTCACCATTACATTCAGCCATATATTATTGCTATAAAGTTCAACTGAGTCCACAGTTACGCATTGTGCAAAATCTTTAATAAGTGTCTAGATGCTTCACTAACTCAACCAGTTGTTAAAGGTGGATAATGCCACGTGAATTCGTGTCATATTCGACTCAAGTTAGTTCGTAAAGGCCATCGAAATAAAAAATTATTCCAAATTATTTGTTCGACATCTTGATGCGTGGGCGAGAATGATCATGATTGGTTGTCTGCTTAGTCAGACATGTAGAGTCTGACAGGTGTCAGATAAGTTATATATTCCCCTATCCTTATTAATATTATGACTCACTCATTGTTGATTGTTCATTGTCGTTGAATTGTGTCCGGTTTTGGTGTGGAAATACATTACGTCGTGGTCAGGCTAATCACGTGTTCTTGATCTGAGTTGTGTTGACGTCCTGTAGAATAGACACTGGGAGGGGATGTAGCGTAGATATTCGTTTAAGGTAGATTAACGTCCTATACCTGTAAACGTGGAAACCCATCCGTTATAGCATTAGACGAAGTAAAACTGAGGGTTATACCACATTCCAGTCTTAGTAAGCATTCTTCATAATTCATGAGTATTGAAGCCGATTTTCATATTATGAATGTAATATTTTTGTATCAAATACATAGTACTATGTTCAAAAATGCTATATGCTATGGGTGTATATTATCGGGTTTTGCATGTAATAATCACAAAATCAATGCATATAATTTCTCTTTTTATCTTGTGTTTCCGTTTACTCACTATTATTCCAAGTTAAAATTAAAGTTGATTCTTTCGAATATTTTGTTCCTGTGTTTTCAATAATTCGTAGTTCGCTCCAATTTTAAACCAATTAATGGGTTTAGTCGGAATGAACAGTACACAAGGTGGTGATTTAACAAATGCAATAGAAACACGTTTACCTATCGTTAAAGAAATAACAAAGCAGTTCAAAGATTCCACTCAGACTACATTTGTATGTGTTTGCATACCCGAATTCTTAAGCATGTACGAAACGGAACGCTTAGTTCAAGTGAGTTATATATTCTATTTCGGCACAGTTTTATCGTCATTTTTAAGTAATTATGTGATTTACTACTATGGCCTAATGACACATTAGATATTACAGAAGGAGAATTTACTCACTTTTGTGTTTTTGCTATATATATATAATTGATAAGGGCAATTAGTGTAAGGGGTAGAAGTTAAAATAGCCACTAAGTTCTTGCTAATTAACTACTATATACTTCAGCATGCCATTCTAATAACACTAACAAGTAGCTTAGTGGTAGAAATGAAGGTAAGGCTCGCGCATCTATCACGTTTCACAGCTAAGCTCTCGAAGGGCCAGATTGTTGGTCTTAAAGCACACTCTCACAACTGCACTAGTTTCATTGTTTTTCTTTCACATTCATGTATTGATATGTCTGGTAATTAAATATGAAATAATTCAAACTCTTTGATTAGCACATAAACTTAATTCTTGTACTCAGAAAAGAGTTAATTCAAAATGTCACATCTCTGGCTCCATTAAATTATTAAGTAAGCAATTAAAACCATTCTTATGTGAGAGGGAGCAATTAAAATCTTTAAAATATAGTAAGACCTATAAATAAATTTAAAATGGATTAGGCAATTTACGGTAATCTGTTCACAATCATGGAAAACAGTTTCGATGTCAATCGGTGTGAATATTTTTTTCTATTTTCCCCGACTAAGGACAAAGTCTTCGTAAGTTATTCGTTAAGCATTCTGTTTCTTTTTAAAGTTCTAAAAATCCTTACTATTTCATGCCCGTTGCACCCCTGGGTTGTCAATATCTAGAAGTTTAAACAACCTTTTATTTATAAACAATCAGTGTCTGTGAAGTTTCAATATTCAGATATAAATAAATCAACACATCGTAACATGTTTAGTGTTCTGATTAATCTCTATAATAATAATGCAATAATTGGTGAAAGCGAGGACGAAAATTTTAACAAACAATAACTTCTATTTAAATACCAGTACTATAAACAGAATTCAATACATATACGTGACCGAGGTGATTAATACAAAAACTGGAACAAATTTTCACCAGCGACAAATAATACCAAACATAGTAGCTAACCTTAGAACCCTTAGGCTACAGAATTTCGAATTATAACACTTCTATTACTGCTTTAATGTTCGTTTGCTTTCTCTTCTTTTATTTAGCCTGTTTTTTGTATGTTGCTTTATACTACTTGATAATATTCAGTAAATAGTTTCATTTCTAATTATTTCTAAGCGTACGATGTAACACAAGTTTATTTGTTGCGTAATATCCTAAAGTATTTATATAAACTAATAATATTTACTCTATTTACAATTATAATTACTTTCTACTAACCCTTGCAACAGTTTTCACATTTGAGTGTTCTTAGTCTCCCCATTTTGGTTGTTTTTGAAATGTTGTTAACACTAGACACAATTATCAGCTGTCATTTACGTTGTCGTATGTTGTAATTACTCTTTATGTTATTATAGCAGGGATCCCTTCCCTTTCCAGATATACAGATGAGTTAGTCACTACAGATACCACACAAGTTGATGTCGGTAACCAAATTATGTTTGTTCTTCAACAACCGAATCATTATTTAGACAAATAGTTTTTTCTTTAATTTTCGGTTTCACGTGGATCTCAATCGTGTAGTTGGACGTCTCAATAAGATTAACAGCCAACAACTAGTTTTTATCGAAAATGTCACTTTATATTTACATTTTTAGTAACTTAGGAGTTCAGTGAAATGTGATTGAATGATATATGACGATTGGTTCGACAACATAATGGATTGTTGTTTATCGTTATCCCCATCTTGTAGCAGCATGACCTAAAATCTAGTGTTAAGCAATTTCCACCTCACTGGTCTAGAACTTTGATTTCTAATTCAGCTATTTCTTATCATATAATTTACTAGCAACGAAGTTGTTCATCAGTAAATGCAAACACCTATCAGCAAAGTATGGCTGAGATTATTATAATCCAGATAGAATTATAAAATTACCGGCATCGATTCTCTTGACTTGTTTCTTTTGAATCACCCATTTATCATTCTTTTATTGAATTACTAGTACGTTAGTGAACAGCTTATAAATACAGTTATTGTTTAATCAAACCAGTAGCTTGTGCTGCTAAATGTTAGATTTGATTTAAACTGAGGCGTATTACGCTGCTAGGATGTCCATCCAAGTCGTAGCACTCTGAAATATGTGTGCTTCTTGACAGATATGATCTATACCATCTTTTCCACACGACTTTTGTCAACTGAGTGATACCCAATTTTGATATGCTGAGTAGGGACGTACTTGTTCCAATAATCAAAGCTCTGTAAAATTGTCAACACATTTTTCTAACTTTCAGTATCCGAAACTGTGTATGTCTCGATAGTGAGTGGTGGTTTCAAATAAAAATTTGCATCCAAATAGTAATTCATTTTGATGATTGATTCTGTGTTCATTTTTCCTTTCGGTATACGAATTCACTATTTTTTCAAACCTATACTCAATACTTACTTACGCCTATTACCCTTCATGGCACCATCAGTCGCCTGTCAGGATTCTCCAACCAGCTGTATCCTGGGCTCTTCCTTCCAGTTGTTTCCAATTGTTGTTCATTCTTTTGATTTCTGCTTTCGATTCCCTGGCCAGTGTGTTGGTTGAACGTCCTCTCTTCTGTTTCCCTTCAGGATGTTAAATTAAGGCTTTCCTCGTGATACTTACTTACGCCTATTACTCCCAATGGAGCATAGGCCACCGACCAGCATTCTCCAACCCACTCTCCTGAGCCTTCCTTTCCAGTCCTCTCCAATTTTTGTCCATTTTTTTCATGTCTATCTGGTTTGTCCTCTCCCATAGTAGTTTGTTGCTGATAGTGTCTGGCCAACGGATTCGAAGTATTTTGCGTAGACTACTGTAAATAAACACTTGTATCTTCTGGATGATGGCTTTTGCAGTTCTCCAGGTTTCCGCGCCATACAGTAGAACTGTGTTGACAGATGTATTGAAAATTCTGACTTTGGTGTTGGTTGACAGTTGTTTTGAGTTCTAGATGTTCTTCAGCTGTAAATATGCTATTATTGCTTTGCCAGTCTGCGCCTTCACATCTGCATCAGATCCACCGTGTTCATCAATGATGCTGCCCAGATATGTAAAGGTTTTTACATCTTCCAAATCTTCTCCGTCAAGTATTATTTGATTGGTGCATGTTATATCGTATCGGAGAATCTTGCATTCGCCCTCCTGTATGTTGAAACCTAATGCTGTTGAGGCTGCTACTACGCTGGTCGTCTTCTGCAATTGTTGTTGCGTGTGCGATAGAAGAGCCATATCATCTGCGAAGCCTAGATCGTCCAGCTGCATCCTAGCTGTCCACTGTATCCCATGCTTCCCCCGAGATGTTGTCGTCTTCATGATTCAGTCGATCACCAGGAGAAAGAGAAAGGGTGAGAGTAAGCAACCTTGCCTGACACTAGTCTTTACTTCGAACGAGTCTGTCAGCTGCCCTCCATGCACGATTTTACAGTTTGATCCATCATAGGAATTCCGTATGGTGTTGATTATATTCTCAAGCACTCCGTATTGTTGAAGAAACCTCCTTAGTGTTGTTCTGTCCACTCTATCACATACTTTCCCGTAATCAATAAAGTTGATGTAGAGTGGTGAATTCCATTTAATTGTTTGTTCCACAATGATCCGTAGTGTTGCGATTTGGTCGGTATCTGATCGATCCTTGCGAATCGAGTCTGTTGATCTCAAAGTTTGGCGCCTACAGAGTCTTTCATTTTTTTAACAATACCCTGTTGAAGACTTTTCTCGGTATTAAGAGAGGAATGATGCCTCTGTAGTTATCACACTTGCTGAGATCTTCTTACTTTGGTATTTTGATCAGAAGTCTTTCTTTCCAGTCTTTTGGTACTTGTTCTTCATTGTAAATCTTGCTGAATAGAATGTGGAGTATCTTTGCATTTACTGCTACATATGCTTTCAGTGCCTCTGCTGGAATGTTGTCTGGTCCTGCTGCTTTGCCGCTCTTGATTTGTCCGATGACCATGCTGATCTTGTCAACTGTTGGTGGGCCAATATCTATTTGGAGATCCGTGGGTGCTGCTTTGACGTTGGATGGATCCAGTGGGGCTGGTCAATTCAAGAGTCCCTTAAAGTGCTCTACCAACCTGTTTCGCTGTTCTTCAATGTTGGTGATTACTTTGCCTTACTTTCCACTGGTCGTTCTAGTTTACGATAATTTCTAGCGAGTTTCTTTGTTGTGTCATACAGTTGTCTCATGTTTCCTTCTCTTACAGCCTTTTCCGCCGTCATTGCCAAATCCTCCACATACTTACGTCTGTCGGATCTGATGCTCCTCTTCACCTGCTTGTTTACTTCTGTGCCTTTTTGTTCCTTCTTTCTTGGATCTTATCCAGTGTATCAACAGTGATCCATTCCTTGTGGTGGTGCTTCTTGTGGCCCAGAACCTCATGACATGTTGAAGTGATCGCCTCTTTTATCCTTCTCCAGTTGCTCTCCATAGTACTCCCCCCTCCATTGAGTGAATCGTGAAAGGCATGGAACCTATTACTGAGGACTATCTTGAATTTGTTGAGTTTGTCAGTATCCCGAAGAAAAGCCGTAGTAAAATTTTGTGATGTTGTCCGCCCCGTTGTCCAGTGCTTCTTGAGTTTCAACTTTATCTTGGTGACCAACAAGTGATGATCTGATGTTATATCAGCTCCTCTCTTGGTTTCGTATCCTCCATCGTCCTCCTAAGCTTTTTGTTGATGCAGATATGGTCGATTTGGTTTTGTGTAGTATGATCCGGTGAAGTCCATGTGGTTTTGTGTATGCGTTTATGTGGGAATGTGGTGCCGCCTATAACCAGGTTATTGAAGGCACATTGGTTTGCAAATCTCTCACCATTTTTGTTCCTTCCTCCTAGTTCATGTCGTCCCATGGTGTCTTCATATCCGGTGTTGTCCGTTCCAAGCTTGGCATTTAGGTCTCCCATGATCAAGTCCC